TGGTTAACAAGTCTCTCAATTATTAATTTTGATTATGTTAAGTTTTTCTGTAACATGATCAGCAGACTATGTTTGTAACGTATATATATATTTGATATGCCCCGTGATTGTGTAAGAGTTTGTTTATGTGTTGAATTCAACAGTTAGAATATCGGGCAATTTTTGACAGTATTTGTTAAAACTTTTGTCGAGGAATTATTGTTGATGTGTTGATATTTTCTCAGCAGCTGTATTCCTTAATGCACAGTTGTAGTGATATGGACATTAAGTTTAGCAAAAGCTTTCGCTCAAATTGGAGTTATGGGTCGTTTTTCACTTGCAGAGTATTTTGCTCCATGTTAAAAGTCTCAATGTGACTTTGAGATAAAAATGAATAACAGTTTATTCCCGTACTTCACCAGCATTTTTACTTTCTTACCATTGCGGAAATCATAATTCCTATAAAATATTAAAGTGTTCCCTATGTGGTTAGGTGTCGCACTATGTCAGGTTTAGAGGGAATATGTTTGCAAATTAATGATGTGCAGGCAGTTGTGACAGATTAATCGAATCTTAATAAAAATAACAAATCACGTCTAGTCGATAGTTGTACTATAAAAAAACTGAGGTGACATATGTGTATGTGTTGTTATTATTATTTGTCTTTTTTCTTTTAATCATGGTTTTGTCTATTTATTGGACTTATGATCTTCGATTGCCCCCTTAGTATTTACTCCCTGGTTTTAATCTGCTCATGGAACAATCATTATAAAACTCTTTTTTTAGCATTGAAAATTTGTTATCATGTATGTCTTTTTATAGAATACAAATTGTTTGATATTAACCATGTAAGCAGTAGAAAAGGTCAGAAAATCCAAGAACTCTATATATTGCAAAGAAATGTTAAAGTCAGTCTGGTTTTTTTGTTGCCAGTGTTCAATGGTATTTATATTAATTGTTCCCTCCAAAGGAAATTATAGTGATGTTAGATGCACCTAGATTTTATCATTAGTCATCTGTTATTATCACACATAGAGTAAACATTATCATTGCGAAGGTTTCATTCATTAGCACCACTTTGACATATAATAACCTGTTAGAACAAGATATTGCTAAAACAGATATCCTTGATGAACATTAGTTAATTCCAATGTTAGTCATAGCTGTAGAAATGTTAGACTCAATTTTATAACCAATGGTCAGCCACTGGATATGGGCAAACTTATAAACGTGTGAAACAAATCCAAATAAGGAAATGGCAATGCTTTATAAACGATTTTAATTTGAGTTATTCTTACAATTTATTTAAATCTTCCTTTTGTCAACTTGTATTCTAATATTTTACAATATGAATTTCTTTACCGCAGTTCAAAGAATATTAAAGAAGCTGAAAAGACAAAAGGTGCATTCAAGAAAAAGACTGTCTGAAAGAAAACTATATATCTGGAATTGCATATCGGATGGTCATTTTGATGATGCAATGATAATAATCAAGGCTGAACGCTGTTTTAATTATAAGGTCACTACAAAGGCAACTGTTCTTATGCATGTTTGTCAAGCAAAGGCAGATGAGGATGAAATAATAAAATTTGTTACCTTTTTACTTGCAGAAGGGGCTTACATCCAACTGCAAGATGTATTCGGAAAGACAGCTTTGGATTATGCACAAGAAAATGGACTTACAAAGGTGGAAACATTACTTCGTAAAATTGTTTATGATGACTTTGTCGAGGGTTTATCATGGCTTTTTTGATGTATCAAAGTACAGGAATTTTAAAACCACTACAGACGTGGTAGACTTCACCAGTGTGAGACTGCATCCAGATTGAAAACGAAAACACCCGGAAAAACAAAATGCTTTTGCATTCTAGTTGTGGTACGAATAACAGGACAGATAAAGAAAATATTCGGTAATTCTATTAAACCATGTCATCACAAACAATCAATTTTGTAATAGTTGGGTAGAAAAACATTGTTGAGTGAATGAGAATGATAAAATACACACAAGTGTTAGTGAAGTGATTTATTGACAGTCATGCTGGTTTTCTGCTCTGAATTTAAATTAAAAAAAAAAAAAAAAACAATTATCAGTTAATGTTGCGGTGAACACAATTAGGTGTTCCTCCAAATAACACATTAACAAAATATGGAGGTAAATATTGGTATGTTAAATCTCTGTAAATGTAAAAACAAAAAAGGGATGTTTTAAATTTGTAGTACCTATATGTCAACTTTTTTGCACGTTAAACAATAAATTGCAGTAACATTATAGTTGTTTTTGCCTCATTAAAATTTCATCGTGTTATACGTTTACATTCGATTAAAAAGTCACAAAATCAACTATGAACTTTGTCTCATCGACGTATCATTCCCATCTCCATGTATTCAATATATACTGCTAACATTTGATGCATTCAACGGATGAGGTATGATAAAACCCATTATTTGGGCCTTGAAACTGCAGAAATGCAAGTAATCGTAAACATGTTTCCCTGCTAAACAAATATGTCTTGGGCACCCATGTAGTTTCTAAATATTTCATTGTCCAAAAACACTGACAAAAAGATCAGACATCAGCTTTTCAAATTAGAACGTCTTCTCCATTGCAAACTTAAAATAAATAACCGAACAAATTAAAATACATGTGAATAACATCATACACAATATGTATATGGAGACATGAAATGAACGAGAATTGAATCGACTTGGATCATCGATTTTTTAAAGTAAAGTTGTCCATCTCTTTGCCTGTTTGTCCTGGTTTTGGCTGTAGAATCGTGTCTTTCTTTTACTCATGGTTTTTGATTGCACCAATTGTAGCTTCCACCATTGTTGTTTCGAAAATCACACAAAACAAGAGATGTAATGTAACGCAGGGAGAATCAAAGCTAACGAATCGACAAAAGACCAACAAAATCATGACCCAAAAAAAATGAAAAAACGACAAAAAGACATACCACAGTCTACAAAACATCACATAAAAAACTAACGAAAAAGCAACATGAACCTACCAAATACCGGGGGTAATAGTATGTGATCCGTAAGGTAAGCATATCCTTCTCCACATGTTGTTCAATGTAAGTACAAATTAATAATTAGGTCTCATTCGGTGATGTCACAATCAAGGAAAAGAGGACGAAATAATTTCGAAGACCATCAGAACACATCCGTCGTCACATGTGACACAAATATTCTATAACGGTCAAACAGTTCATGATGGAGCACGTCAAATATTCAAAGGGATGACTTCAACTTTATTACTACGAATCCTTGGTTCAAAAGTTTTCTTGTAAGCACCAACCTTCTGTCAAGGAATGATTGTAGGAAACTCGACCAAGTGGAATATCTTAACGTTTATTTGATCCTAAAGTTTGCTTGGCATAGCTTTGGAAGTTTATTTCAATTACATAAATTGCACGTACTGAATTCGATTTTAAATGTTTTCAATACAAGATAGTTTCAAATCTGTGTTTAAACCATCAAATAGTGATTACCGTATTTGAGTAGATTATCGTTTATGTCATTTTGTAAAATTATCATACCTTTATTGGTTTTTTAAATGTAGTACGAATAGTGATATTTGCGTCATGCATTGGTACATCATATCCTTTGTTTTACATTCCAATACTTCTCTATTAACGATAAGACATTCACGAATATAGGACCTATTTCCCCTGGCAGAACTAACGATTTGTTATAAGAGTTTACTTGAAGAATTCTCCATCCAGACGCTTTTTCTCTATAACTCAAACGAAGAACCAAAAAAATATTACGACTTAAAGCATTACAAATCATTAAATGCTACAAAAGTCGACTAAACATTAAACTTGAAACATAAGTTTAATTAATAAGAAAATAAAAATGTTTTAACTTCTAAACTTTTGGTCTTGAGCAAACGTGCTAATTTTTATTCAAGAATCTCGTGTCATTTGCGTTGAGATCAATTCACATGTTGTAATTTCCGTTCAAAACGGTGCCACCAATTGTTGACTGTCAGCGGTGTGGTATTTACTTTAACCAAAAAACAATTGCTTTTTACTTCGCTTTTACGGTACATAACATTATGCGATTTTCATAAATTCAAGCAGAAACACAACCAGGCAAAGTTGGTCTTGAAAAATCATAAAAAATATAAATGTTTATAATTTTGTACCCCAGTCGCGGACATCCTCTACATAATAATCATCAGAGATTCTCGAATTAAAACAGTTAAAATACCAAATCAACATAGGAGGTGAAATTCATTGAAAACAAATTAATCCCTAAAGATGTGCCGAATCCAGGTAATGTCATGAATTGATTTGGGTAGATGGTTTAAGGCATTCTGTTTAGGCCTGTTTTAATTTTAAATACCTTCGAACGTTTAGTGTGTTTAGCTTTCCAAACTTGTGGTTTCTAGTCTACATTCTAAAGATTATTCAAGAAAGCTTCAACGAACATTTTGTTATTTATTATTGAAATGGGATTCGTTGATCATGTTGATCGTATGTACGCGAGAAAAATTGTAGCGCACATATTTGTACACATATTTCACTTTAATATTAACCGGTTATGAGTTTAAACGCATTCATTTAAGACATAGTTTCTTTTAATATATTAGTCCCTAGTATAAAATATAAATTCTTTATGTTTTGTTGTTGTTGGAAAATGGGAACGTTCGCAAGCATTTCCGTTTCTGAAAACACAAATACTGATCTTCTATAAACAATCAGTACAGAATGTTTCCAATACATTTGTAATACAATACATTTACAATATCTATCCTTTAATATTTTACGAAACGAACCAGATTAAAACATGTGGGAGCAGTTTGTTACACCCACATATTCCATACTGTCATGTGCCCACTTCACAGTATACATTAAACACTTATATGACAGTATGGAGAACTGTAAAATGTCAGATTTAAAACCCGTAAGAAGAGTTTATTATACAATCTTACAAGGTCTGTCATGTTCACATCCTCAACAAAAACTGTATCTATGCACGTTTGTGTGTGGAGAGAGAGAAAGAGAGAGAGAGAGAGAGAGAGATTTTATTGAGTTTAGAATCTATTACATCAATATGAACCCTGTCTATCTACTAACAATCATAAGATGACATCACAAAATAAATATCACTTACATTTTAAATTTCATGTCTGGAAACTATATTCCAATATACAACATATTTCAAAAACAATCCTTGGCATTTATATTACGAGTTTAACAACACCATAAACGATACATCATATTTATGAAAAGATCAGGTCCATTATGCTATTTGAAAAAGGAAAAAAGGTACATCTTCAGACAAAAACTTAAGCACAATGTCATATAATTAGATTTAAGGTTTAAGGTCATATTAAGTCCGTTTTCGGTGTCACATGAAAAAAAAAAGTTTTGTCATTATAGATTAGGAATTTCAATTTTCGAAACTATTGCGCAGTTTCATTTCGACAAGTATTCACTATTCATGCTCTACTTAAAGTAAGTGTTTTCCTAATATATACAAAAAACGGCATTTGTTTGTTACTATAGGTTAGTCAGAGTCAAACGTACAAAAACTGATCTCATGTTCATCTGTGAGGCATTTCTCTCAAGAAATATATACGATATGTATATATCTATGATATTCCTTACATAGCCATGGACATAAAATATGCTTTTGTCTTATCTGTGTTGACTTTTTTGATAATTCTTACATTCAGCTTATTTCCCATTTTATTTTCCCAATCAACAACAAGTTGACCTCTTGTATGATTGCCTCCAATCTCAACGGTACACCATTCGTCCACAGACTCTGTTATAACTGTTTGGTCAATAGCAGTTGCCATTGTTAGTAGATCGTATGGTGAATATTTTGGGTGCTTTAGCAGTGTTCTGTTAAATTCTGCTGTCTTACGGGAGAAGGCTTTGATAAATCGGCTCTTTCTAGTATCCATATTCACCCATCTATCATACCATTCCTGCAATATTAGTATATGACAATGTTTATAAAGTCTTTAGTTTGCCAACATAATTTTACAATATCAAAGAGGGTTCCTGACCTGTGCGTGTAATTAAGTACCAGTAATTGATATAATACCATAATTTGATTGATCGAAAACGACAGGCTTAAGATTCATTTCAAAGAGACATTCAAACGCATAAGTCGAAAATAAGCTAACAACGTCATGGCAAAAAAAGAAAAAAGACTACAAGTAAAACAACAACACACAAAACACAATATAGAAAACTAAAGACTGAGCAACATGAACCCCACTAAAATCCGAGGGTGATCTCCGGTGCCACGGAAGGGTAAGCAGATCCTGCTCCGTCGTATTGCTCATGTACATACAAACTCGGTGAGGTCACATTCGGGGAAAAGGAAGACGGAACTGTGGTTACGGGTTACAGATTGTAGTCATTAATTATTTTGGTAGCTTTTGAATAACTTATTTATACTTTGTGAGCTACAGGTTGAATTAGACCTTTAATAATTGTTTAAATAATAGTATAGTGCAAGAGACTGCATGCTGCTCTTTATATACCCTTTTTAATTGGCTGTTATTGGCAGTTCATGTCATTGGTGTGCACCCCATAGCTTTTGTTATTGATTGTATACTTACCATAAAATGGTTTAAGGTCGTTAACAGCAAAATGTAACAAACCATTGCTTATCTTTAAGCATATTTTTTTCTGAATTTATATATTGATTTTTTAAATTATAGTAACATTTACAATTTTTAAAAAAGGAAATTAATACAAGTATGCACTGGCTGAAAAAAACATTCAACTTAAACACTGAGGAAAAGGGACAACGTGAATAATGTATTTTTTTTATCCTAAATGTTACCTTTTTAATCCATACATTGTCAATTTTACTTACCCATTCTATTCCATTTGCCTCCGCTGCTTCCAAAGACAACAGGTTTGTTGGACACTTCAGCTCATGTAATGTGATATATGCTGCTTCCGGGTCCGCGTAGAAATTAAATTCTGCACCTAAATTCTTGTTTCCTCTCCCTATAAGATGAAAAAAAACTGGAGTGCACAAGTTGAAATGTCTCACATGCTTTATTGACCATGATTGATTTTATGTTGACAGTAAGTTTCACTAAAAGTAATTCATAACTTAACATTATCATTGATCCATAACAATGAGGTCAATATCAGATAAACCAAGCTAGACAAACATGAACACCTCACAAACATCCCATACACCAAATATAAACAGTCCAAACAATGAAACTATAAAACCATGAAAATAAGGTCAAAGTCAGATTATACATTTTACAATCATGCCATACACCAAATATGGTTGATATATTGCCATTGAAAATGAGGTTAATTACAATGGACATATGACAGACAAAAATTTCGTAAGGAATATGTAGACAAGTTATAAGCCTCCAAGTCTTTTTCAATTAAATATAAAGCTGTATACAAATAGTTTACGCTGCCGCCACATGATTGTAATCCCAATGTCTCTAATTCGGCAAGATTCGGAAACCAATATCAATAGTATTTCCAATTTTAACCTTACCTGTCATTTAATGTTTACCTGCTATTTTGATTAAATCATAACAATGTTTAATCGTAGGTTTTTTTTCTACTTTTGTTTATTATTAACTTTTAATATTTTGAACTTCAAAACATTTGTTCTCATGTGCATATTTTATTAAAGAAGCATGGTGTGTTCACGGATAATAGTATACCCTAGGCTAGTTCTCTCCCTTGTAACAAACGGTATCTGAGTCACCCTTGTTCTCAGAGCCAAACAGGTAAATGACAGAGAACCAGTTTATAGTATACCATTTTTTAGATTAATATATTCGAAACTTTTTTTTTATGTATTTTGTATGTATATACCGCATAGTAACACAACAACAAATGTATAACGATTGTAGTATTTCTTTACTTTGTATTGGTATTATTAAAAAGTAAAATCACAAAAATACTGAACTCCGAGGAAAATTCAATCGGAAAGTCCCTAATCACATGGCAAAATCAAATGACAAAACACATCAAACGAATGGACAACAACTGTCATATTCCTGACTTGGTACAGGCATTTTCAAATGTAGAAAATGGTGGATTGAACCTGGTTTTATAGCGCTAAACCTCTCACTTGTACGACAGTCTTATCAAATTTCGTTATATTTACAACGATGCGTGAACAAAACAGACATTATAAATAAAATAGTCAAAATATGGGTACAGCAGTCATCACTGTGTTACAATATCAAAACAAACAATTATTTACAAAAAAAGCACAAAAGCATCTATCAAATTAAGACCCACATTCATTGCTTCGCGTGTCTGACGTCAGAAAATGTAAACGTCACATAAGAAAAAAGTTTGTCATTCAATGTCTATTCAAAACAATTTTATAATTTCACATGGGGAATGTTGGTATACAGGGTTAAAAAATCAAAAGTTATGTTAGAATTAATTTCAGAAATAGACCGAGATTTATAATTGTCCAGAAGTTCTTCAGAACCCTTAAGAATCCACATATGGTAAATACCACTACGCGAGTAAAATAAATTTGTCGTTTGTCGTTCAAAGTATTTTCAAATTTATAATAGAACAATAACATAATGACATATAATAGAACAATAACATAATGACGGGATCTTTTAAAGTACAGAGTCACGTTATAAGAACCACAGAAACACAAAAAGTCGCATATACAAAACACACCAGTAAAAATTAAAGATAATACAAACACATTGACGGGATGTATAAGTACCTAGCCACGTCAAATGGATATCACAGAAAACAAACCAAACAGTAAAAGTAATATTAATAATAGAACAAAGACAAATGAAAGAACAATATTACACGTTGTTAAGATGATAAACAACGTCAGTATGCAGAATCTATACTTCAAGACCATCATGTATTGTTTGTGAAGTTGATACGGAATATTTATCAACAAGGTCTTGGTACCTTCCGATGAACTTTTTTAGAAAAAGGACGAGACGTTCTTTGACATACCCCTGGTTCATCAACTTTCTGCTCAGACACTGGTGACGTTTTACAAAGTCTGAGTAAGAGCTGCAAGCTCTTGAATATCGAATAAGTTGGGAAATGTATATCCCATATGCAGGTGAAGTTGGTATATTGCTACTAAGGTGGGGGAAATTTATAATTTTAAAATTAAAATCGTCTCGTTTGTCATAGATTCTGGTACTGAGATGACTGTGTATGTCAAATTCGAGATATAAGTCTAAAAATGAGGCGGAGGAAGCCGTGTCTGTTGTTTCTTTAATTTCTAGTTCTGGGGGATATATTAATGGAACCCAATCAGAAAAGTTCGGATTGTTAATGGAAAGAACATCATCAATATATCTAAAGGTGAAATTAAATAATCTGGCTTCTTTGATCTTCTTGTTTTTGACAAGTGTCTGAAGGAACTCCGATTCATATGAAAATAAGAAGAGGTCGGCAAGGAGAGGCGCACAGTTCGTTCCCATAGGAATGCCGACAATTTGTTGAAAAAGTCTACCTCCAAATTCAACAAATATGTTGTCGATAAGAAACTCCAGCATACTGATCACTTGTTCTTCTGTGTAGCATGTTTTACCCTTTTGTTCACTATTAACAAAATATGCCTTATGATATCCCAAAGTAATAAATTTATAGCGTATGCTACCATTTTTATGATGAAAGGCATTGTGGATTATTTCTTTCAAGCGATTTTTCAATTTCACATGGGGAATGGTGGTATACAGGGTTGAAAAATCAAAAGTTTTGATAGAACTAATCTCAGAAAAAGACCGAGATTTAAAATTATCTAGAAGTTCTTTAGAATTTTTAAGAATCCACATATGGTTAATACCACTACGCGAGTAAACAGTTTCACAGTATTTCTGAAGACCCTCTTTCACTGCGGACAGAATTTTAGTCAATCTAATGGACAATTCTTTAGTGGAACATGCAGATGAGCCGGCAATGTACCGTTGTTTGTAAGGAATTTTGTGGAGCTTAGGTATCCAATACAAAAAAGGTAAGTCCTCCGATTTGGTGTTCAATGTAATGTTCATTGAAGCCATGAAGGACTTATGATTTGCTAAAATCTCATCCTTGTCAAATGATATGTCTTTGTATGTGGGATTACCTGAGTGCTCATTTATTCCTAATTCTTTTACAAGACATTCGTAGTAATACGATTTACATATAAAGACAATATTATTTGAAGCTTTGTCCGCAGGAACAACAACATACTTATCATGAAGAGATGATAGACATTTCACGGCCTCTTTGTCTCTGAAAACGGACTTAGGTCGATCATTCACACAGTTTTTCAACTTATGAATGCGACGTTTTATCAGAGACCTGATAGTTTTGACCCATTCTGACAAAGTGTCCAGTTCAACTTCTTCTCGTTTAGCCCATGCTCTGGCGTAGTCCTCAATGGAATCCATAATTATTTTGAAGTTATGGTTCCAATTGATGTGTTGGGGTTCTCTAAACTTAGGACCATGAGAAATCACCTTTCGGAGATTTTCATGTTGAATTATGTTTAGATCCCCAGTTATAACATGACCAGAGGGGCTGTAATTATAAGGCGAGTGGGAACAGTCACATGTCGGTGGGTTTTTGAGGTATTGTTCTAAGTCAAGGTCCTGCAATGCTTGTTTATAGTTAAATACTTTAGGTGCAATGGTTTTGGTGTAACTGTAGGATACAATAGGAACAGACTGATTTTGAAAGTAAATAGGAATTTTAGATATTACCTCCTTGTGATGTAGAACGTTGCAGATGTTGATTGCATCAATCCCTCTATTGGTAAAGTGAACAGGAAGGAATTTCCTCTTTTCCTCGTGTAAAGGTTCCGATCTTACTGGTTTGAAAAGACGGAAAAGAGCTACATCACAAATAATACTGACTAGTCTGTATATTGGAGAAAATGTATCGATGCATCCTTTGTCAAGTGCATAATCTCTCAAACATTTAAGAAAATTAACAGGCAGTGAAAAAAGAATAGTTCTAATGTAATGTAACCCTAGTGGATGATGAAGATGTGAAAGAAGGTCATCAAAGCTCCCAGAGGGCGATCTAGATTTTGATGACTTTTTTACATTAGGCCGATGGTAATGTTTTTGCCCATGACTACGTTGCTGTCGTAAGGTAGTATTAAATAAACTCATTACATTAACATCACTGCAGGCAGGACTGGACAAATTTCCTACTCCTTTGACATTATCATTGCAACCATATGGCATTGCAGTCCCTAATTCCCTTATCCAGAAATTTTCTCTATCTTTGCGGAAAGGAGTACTTAGTACAGGGCTATTTGTGTGGTGATAAATTTTCTCGATGATGCGTACTTTCATAGATAAAGAAGGATCATGGTCCGGTTGATTAAAATGGTTATAAAGAACCCTAAATTGCGGATCTTTATTATCAGACCGGTGTTGATTCATTCTTTTACGCAAAGTTTGACGAGTTTCACCAACATAAAGTAGTCCACACAAAGTACATTCTATTCCGTACACGACATTGTCCGTGGAACAGTCCAGAGGCTCGAAAGATTTAGTATAATATGTTTTAGATGTTAAATTACTAGTAAAATCAGGAGTCGTGATTAACATATCACATGTCTTACACGTGCTCCTTTTTCCTTTTTTATGTTTACAAGAAGAAATGATAGGTGTTGATTCACTTGTAGCAGGTGTCTTTAAACAGTCGAAAATATTGACGCAACATGGCTTTAATTTATGAAAAGTATCTGAATTTTTAAAATAGTAATTACCTTCTGGCTGAACATAAGTCAAATCAGGGGTATCCCGGAGGATATTCCGTGGAACACACAAATCAAATGCTACAGTGTTCCGTGCAGCAAAAGGGGACCTTGGTAACCCGGGCGACGTCCCAGCCGGTTTGTTCTTTGTATTATTTGTATTCATCATGCATAAAGCTACCAAGTTAATGATGCCCTCGGGGAATAATCCACCAGCAGTAAAGTTTCTTCTAGGAAGAAACTTGACATCGACTTGGTTTTAGTAAAAAGTAAA